CCCGGAGGCCCCCACGCCACCAACGCAACCACAGCCAGTGTCTCCAAAGAGCTGTTCGTCCTCAGCATCCTCCACCACCCTCTGCTCCGTTCTCAAGGCCCCGATGAAGACAATGGGCTCTTCCAAATGATGGAGAATCTTTATGGGGGGATCTTGGTTCGAAACGTCGTGGCAGCCATCGACAGCCGGCGAAGAGCTGAGGGCCTTCAGCGGCACGGAGCAGAGCTGTCCGTCTGGGAAGCCGCAGAGGATCATAGGAGACTCCAGCATGGCAGCGTCGATCCCAAAGAGCAGGCTGAAGAGGGGCTCTTCCAGCACGAATCCCCCTGAGCACCACAGCCCCTCCCCGGACCCCACGGTGCCTGGGGAGGAGGCGCAGCACAGGACAGGCAGGAAGCGGGACGGCGGGCTGTCCCCCTCGTCCCCAGGCTGGGGGCCGGGGCAGAAGCCCACCTCGCTGACCTGCCGGTACGGGGGACTCTCCTGCTCGGGGCGCGGAAGCTCGTGCAGTTTCATCCACCATTTGCCGTGAGCCTGGGACAAGGTGATGACGAAGCTGTTGAGCAGAGTGAACATGCACAGGCTGGAGTCTGGGAAGATGCAGGCGTCCGAGTCCACAGGGAAGACGCCGGAAGGGCAATTGCCTTCTTGGCCGTCGCTATCCGTCTGCTCCATTAACCTTCAAGCAAACAGGGAAGAGCTCTCAGCCAAGCCGTGGGGTGAAGCCAGCTCTTCCCTTGGCTGCCTCTAACCCCGGCCCTCAGAAACAAGCTCCCCGCAGCCCAGCTTTTAGCATCTGCTGCAAGAGTGGCCATTTGGAGAGAGCCAGAGCTTCAAACCGCGTAACGCTCCCCATGCCTGCGGGAGGACGGGCAGGGAGAGGGCAGTGGTGGAAGCCCAACGCGTCACCCAGCCGCAAGAAGGAGCCCCGGGACTCCAAGGCTAACAGCACAGGGCTGGCTCATGCCCCTGGGGGTGGCGGCCAGCTCACCTGCTCTGCTGCTCCAGGGAGACGCAGTAAATACCGCTGTGGGCACAGAGGATGTAGAGCTGCCGGGGCTGGGGCAGCAGCTCCACGTGCCACACCTGGTCAGGACACCGGTACACAGCCTGGGTGGAAAAGCAGAAAGAAACGTCACCTTCCTATGGCACCCGGAGGAGGGGGTGGGAAGGGGCTGCTTGCCGCAGGCACAAGTGCTGAGGGAGCCACGGTGCCCATGCTGCCAGGCCGGGCAGAGCCCTGCTCTCCCACATGAGGTAAAGAAAGAAACTGCTTGCTGAGCAATGCCTCCTCCTGGGCAACCCAATACAACTGCAAATTAAAGCGTTATTTCCTGCAAATGCAGATTATAAGCAATTTCCAGGAATAAATCTATCACTGGGCAGCACTGCAGCTCACGGACCCAGCTGGGCTTCCCCAGGAGAGGGGCA